TTCATATATTTAATGTAAAAATGACTGCTGTGAGATGTCGTGTTTACAACAGATTTGTTTTTAATTCTGAACAAGTCATTTACATTTAAAGCACCTTAAAGGTCATAACAGTGCAGCACAAGTTGTATGAAACAGTCAAGAACACACATTGTATTAGATTTAGTTGCCAGAACAATAAAAACACAACAGCAGCGTCTGTTTTGTGCAACACTGTGTGACATGAGGTAAACTGTTGAATTCAATCCTGTTGAAGGACATAAAATCAGGAAAGAAGAAGAAGTTCACATGGATCTCATCCAGAGTTTTGCAGGATCCTTGATGTGGCCTCTTCTCCAGACATCACTGAGAAGTCTTGAAAAATTGAATTAAAATGTAAAGGACAACTATTTCAGCAACCCACTGTAAACCTAATGTTTTAACACAACTTGTACACCTACCAATCCTTTGGTATCACAGAAGCGAGGAAACATTGAGGAGGTTCAGTGCCCAAGTGGGCCAAACCACATTTACTAGATTTTTTCCCCCAAATTTATAGAACTATATATATAAAAATATAAAATGTACATAAAATCAACAGTATATAAATCATCAGATGATTAGAAGGTGTAGAATCTCAGCAGGTGGTGGACTTGGCCGAGAGACGTCAGTTGATGGTTTCAGGGTCATCGGTCGTGTATGCTGAGAGATTTGGACATTAACCGGGCCAGCTCTTCATCCAGAGAGGAAAACATCTGGCTGCTTGTTGTCCTGAATGTCTCCAAAGTGACTTGGAGGTTGTGGAAACTCACAAGCCCTTATGTGGAGACATTGGGACACCAAACAGGCCAGTTCTTCATCTGGAGAAGACAGCTCTGGTCCAGACCTCCAGGCAGTGGCACCTCCTCAGGTAGAAAGAATACGGTGTAGTAGTACTCCCTTGGTGGAGGTGCCACAGGTTTTTGCCTCTTGAAAGCTGTGGATGCAACAAAAATGGTGTCACTAGTGTTGCAAGCAGATGACAAATGAGCCATCACGATCCTAATAAGTTGTTTTATTTGATGCCGAATACAAGACTTACCCGATCAGATCATTGTGTCCAACGTCCATCTCAGCATCAGCAGATGATGAACTTGGAGACAGTGGAGTATTTCCCAGCATCGCCAGAAGTTCATCATCTGCAGGACAAGAACTTGGAGGTGGTGGAAGGTCACAAGCTTTGATGTTGAGACAATCAGACACCCAACAGGCCAGTTCTTCATCCACCGACGAAAGCTCTGTTGGGTCCAAGTCGCCGGGCAACGGAACATCCTCAGTGAGATCAACACAGTGTCTGTGAGGGTTGTTCACCTGGAAAAGGTCACATTTTATTGCTTTTTGTGAAACCAATGCACATAATTTAGTGTGAAAAGATTTGGTTTGTCTGTGCAACGTTACAGAGCATTTGTCACAAAACAGCTTAAAGCCAAATTCAGAATTATTATATCAAACTCACCAAAGTGTGATGTTTTTAAAAAAAAAAAGCATTTAATTACTCATATATGTATATGAAATACCTACAATACATATCAGGTATTGATTAAGTTGTTCCCAGAGGAAAACCTGTTTGCTCAGGATGGTCTTTTATTGAAAGTAAGAAGATCTCAGCTGAATGTCTTCATGAGATTTCTTTAATCCCAGTTGTATAGATCAGCTCAGTCTGATCTATTGCTCCTAAGTTTATTATTATTATTTGTCAATAATTATTTAAGTTTAATATTATTGTTTATTATTTATTGATCCTAAACATTGTGAATAAGAAATAAGTGAGTATTATACACTGCTCAAAAAATAAAGGGAACACCTAAACAAGACAATGTAACTCCAAGTCAATCACACTTCTGGGAAACCAACCTGTCCATGTAGGAAGCAGCACTGATTGTGAATCAGTTCCACCTGCTGTTGTGCAGATGGAACAGACAACAGGTGGAGATGAGAGGCAGTGAGCAGGACAACCTCTATGAAGGAGTGGTTCTACAGACCATGTCTCTGTTCTCGTCCTTTCTGGCTGATGTTTTGGTCACTTTTACATCTTGTCGGTGCTCTCAGCCCCAGAGGCAGCATGAGGCGTGTCTACAACCCACACAAGCTGCTCAGGCAGTGCAGCTCATCCAGGATGGCACATCAATGCGAGCTGTGAGCCAAAGCCTGGAGGAGATACCAGGAGACAGGCCAGTACACCAGGAGACGTGGAGGGGGCTGTAGGAGGGCAACAACCCAGCAGCAGGACGCTAACTCCTCCTTTGTGCAGGAGGACCAGGAGGAGCACTGCCAGAACCCTGCAGAATGACCTCCAGCAGGCCATTAATATGCATGTTTCTGCCCAGAGGTACCCTGAACGCCATCAGGTACCAGGATGAGATCCTCAGACCCACTGTGAGACCACATGGTGGTGCACTGGGCCCTGGGTTCCTTCTGAAGCAGGACAATGCTTGGCCTCATGTGGCTGAAGTGTGTCAGCAGCTCCTGATGATGAAGGCATTGATGCTATGGACTGGCCGGCCTGTTCCCCAGACCTGAATCCAATTGAGCACATCTGGAACATCATGTCTCGTTCCATCCACCAGACTGTCCAGGAGTTGGTGATGCTTGAATCCAGGTGTGGGAGGAGATCCCGCAGGAGAACATCCTGCCTCATCAGGAGCATGCCCAGGCGCTGTCGGGAGGTCCTACAGGCACATGGAGGCCACACACACTGCTGAGCCTCATTCTGACTGGTCTGGAGGGATTTCCACTGAAGCTTGATCAGCCTGTGATGTGATTTTCCATGTTTATTGAATATGAGTCCAAATCCAGACCTCCATGGCATAATAATGTTGATTTACATTGATCATTTTTGTGTTATTTTGTTTTTAACACATTTCACTAAGTCATGAATAAAGATTTTCAACTGGAATATTTCATTCATTGAAATCTAGGACGTGTTATTTTAGTGTCCCTTTATTTTTTTGAGCAATGTATAAGTATGTAAATAAAAGCTGCTGTGAGTGTGGTCTTTTTCAACAACGGAGTGTTTGTGGTGAAATATAAATGCTAATGAACTCAGAATCATGAACAAACCCTGATTTGACTCCTCATAAGTTACTGAATGACCGATTTTTCCTCAATCGTTTATCGGTACCCCAACTTGAGCAGGTTTGTTTTTCAGGGTTTCCCACAGGAGTTGAACTTCAACATTGTAAGGAGTGTTATTACACACCTTAGCAAACATATTGGTGAAGAAATGGTTTGGTAACGATTTAGTTGGCAGATGTTGATATGTTTCCCTTACTGTGAGAGGCAGGAGAGCAGAATGCCTGATCAAAACCACAAAGCCAGGGGGACAGAAAATTAAACTCACCTCTGCACCTCATCGGTTTGCATTTAAAGGCTACAATCACAACAGCCGTGCAACTGGAACAAAAGCGGGTTGGACCCACGGACGTAAAGGCACGGTTTACACATGACTCCGGATATTATTGTACTTTAAAAACATATTTTCACTCTTCGACAAAACACAGCTTCGGGGACAAGACTGCAAGAGCTGGGTCGTTGAACAGATGGTGGCGAAAGAGCTCCGAATGGTGGCAATTCGCCATCAAACACGAAGCGGAAGAAGAAGCAGCAGCAACAGAAGAAGACGGCGTAGAAGAAGAAGCGGCAACAGGAAAGAAGGCGTAGAAGAAGAAGAAGCAGCAGTAGCAGAAGAAGAAGAAGAAGAACGATGGTGGAAATGAACTGAAAGATGCTAGCAGCGTTAGCTTTGTTAATTTGTGGATTTCGCTGGGAGTCGGTATCAACATGGATGTGTCGGTGGTTGAAGTAACGACGTCTTCAGCTCAGTGTTTGAGGGACTTCATCAACGAGCGACTGACGGCCGCTGCTGAGGAAATATTTCAGGTCTTTGAGAAGACTGTGCTCCAGTACGAGGAGGAGATCGCTCGGCAGCGCACACTGTTGGACATCACCTGGAAACCCGAGATAAAGTTACTCCGAATAGGTATGGAAACCAGTGTCGGGTGTCAGCGACCCACCAGTTTACTTATTATGGGTCGTGTAGTGTCCCAGCAGGGCTTTGCTTTGTGTTTGTCTTGAGCATCACAGAGCACCTGCAGGTATTTGTCAGAAAGAAATAACATGAATGCGTCTCTTTCTAAAAACGTGTTACCGAATGTGTAAGACACAGCAGGACCTGACTTAGCTATGAGGTTATTTGCGCAAATATACACCAGACGGGTTCACTGTGGAGACTAACTGACAGAGCCTTGGGGTTTTGTGCCAGAAGCAGCCCTAGCTAACATGGTTGTGATCAGCTAACAGTGTGTCTGATCAGTAACAGAGTGGCAAACCTGTTTCTTGAATGAAATCAGGTGAAAGGCTTTGTGCCTTTTCCAAACTGACATGCATGTATTTTAAAATGTAGCCTATCTTGTCCCGTACACATGCCAGGATCACCACCACCGCTGTTTATTACCAGCTGCTGGAGGAGAGCTGCAGCTTGTTAGGAAGAATAGTTATGGTGATGGTCTTTGTATGCACGCCCCTGCTGCTTCCCTTAAGGCAGGGGTGTCGAATCCTGGTCCTCGAGGGCCGCAATCCTGCATGCTTTAGATGTTTCCCTCTTCCACCACACCTGCTCAATAACTGATGCATCCAAATATTTAGTCACTTTTACCCACTTTAAAGTTAATACGTGAACCTGGTCATCACATTGGTAACCCTTTTTTTGTATGCGTTTGTGCTTTCAGACCTCCCTCAACATCATGTTTGTAAGGAGGAGGAGGTTCTCTCTGACCAGCAGGTCTGTAACCAGGAGAGGAAGTCCAGTCTGGAGCAGGAGGAACCAGGTCACCCACAGATTAAAGAGGAACAGGAGGAGCTGTGCACCAGTCAGTCGGTTGAGCAGCTTCTACTGAAGGAGGAGACTGATATCATTATGGTTACTCAGACTTATGAGGAAAGTGACCACAGTGAACTAGAACCCAGAAGCGACCAGCCGCTCTCCCACAACTCTCCTCTACCTGAGCGCCAAGACCAGGAAGGAAGCAAGCCTGTAGAGTTAGCATCAGCTGCAAATGAAGAGCCAGAGTCAAACAACAGACCTCACACCAACAGAAGTCACAGTAATAATGTAGCTCACTCTCTAATGTCGGAGAGTCAGTGTAATCCCGACGCAGGGAAAAAGTCTTTTCACTGTGACTTCTGTGGAAAAGCCTTTCAAAAAAAGTCCCAAATGCAGAAACATAGCAGGACCCACACAGGTGAGAAGCTGTACCCCTGCAAAACATGCGGGAGAAACTTCACTCATAGCACTTCCTTGAAGGTCCACATGAGAATCCACACAAGTGAGAAGCCGTACTCCTGCAAGACCTGTGGGAAAAGTTTCAACAACAGCACCTCCTTGACGGTCCACACCAGAGTCCACACCGGGGAGAAGCCGTACACTTGCAAAACCTGCGGGAAAAGTTTCAGTCAAAGTTGTCATTTGACTTCCCACATAAGGACTCACACGGGCGAGAAGCTGTACTCCTGCCAAACATGCGGGAAAAATTTCGTCAATAGCGCCGACGTGAAAATCCACATGAGGACCCACACGGGCGAGAAGCCGTATTTTTGCAACATATGTGAGAAAAATTTCATTCACAGTTCCCACCTGAAAGTCCACATGAGGATCCACACGGGTGAAAAGCCGTATTCCTGCAAAACATGTGGAAAGGGATTCAGCAACAGCAACTCCTTGAAAGTCCACATGAGAATCCACACGGGCGAGAAGCCGTATTCTTGCAAAGCTTGTGGAAAAAGTTTTAATCAAACTTGTCATTTGACCGCCCACATGAGAACTCACACTACTGACAAGCTGTATTCCTGCAAAACATGCAGCAGAAATTTCAGTAGCAGCGCTGACCTGAAAGTCCACATGGAGATCCACACAGGAGAGAAGCCGTATTCCTGCAAAACATGTGGGAAGATATTCAGCTACAGGAGCGACCTGAGAGCCCACATGAGAATCCACACAGGGGAGAAACCATACTCCTGCAAAACTTGTGGGAAAGATTTTAGATATACGACTTCTTTAAAAGTCCACATGAGAATCCACACAGGCGAGAAGCCGTATTCCTGCAAAATCTGCGGTAAAAGCTTCGTCCAAAGTTGTCATTTGACGTCCCACATGAGAAATCACTCTAGCGAGGAGCTCTCGTCTTGCAAAACATGCGGGGATGCTTTCAGTAGCAGCGCTGACCTGGAGGAGCACATGAGAGTCCACACAGGTGAACAGCCGTGCTCCGGCAACACATGATGGAAAGGTTTGTCACAAAAGAGCTCACTTACATTAGAAGCTTTGACCCTGTGACACCTGTGGGAGAAGATGTAAAGACGCAATGCAGCGTCACATCAGAGCACACGGTGGAGGAAAGCCTCACTCCCGGACATGTGGGTCACGTTTCACTCAGCATGAGAACTCATCTGTGGGGAGGAAATCTATCTGCAGCCCAGCCTGTATAAATATGTAAGAATGCAGAGACGTTAAAGTAGAGTTTTTAGATTTTGTGAGATGAATCTGAGAACATCTGGTTTACATCTGTGTCCGACCGCACGATCGATTCAAAGCAAATTATGCAACAGAAGTGTGGCGACCCTGTCAGAAGGACTTTTACTTTTAACTGTTGCTTCTTTTTATTTATTTATTTTTGTTACCTTAAATAGTATTTTGGAAATACACGAAAACTTGTGCAAGAACTTAGACGTGTCAAATTCCTGTGGATTTAGCAAGTCGAACCGTGGGCTGCATGTTTCCTGTTTTTAACCCATATGTGTTTACGTTCAGAAAAATGAAGTACATCGAATCAGCTGTTCATCTGATACTTGATCCCTCCAAGGCAATTCAGAAAGTTCCTAGACAGTCACTGTATTTACATCTGTGATTATGAGAGAGTTTTCTAGATAAGCCCTCATATGTAAAAGGTAGGACTTTTCCAAACAGTCGGAGAATCCTTGTAGTCCAGTGTCGGTAGAAAACAGTCATGTGAAAGCCGGGTCATCATCCCGTATTGTCTGTCATCTGTTTTGAAAGAGTTACATAAACTTGGTCATCAGTGTGTTCTCAGCCCTTTTCAGACGTCGAGCATTGCAGCTTCATCAGTCTGTTAAAGTGACGGCATTTTGTCATCCACACGTAGGTCGAGTTTATGTTAATGCTCCTACATGGACGGCAGACCCACGTAGTGACGGAGAGCAGTACAGTCGTGACTCGATAACCCGACCCCTAACAATCCAAAAACCTCGCTACCCAACAGGTTTTTAGGAAAAACAAACAGAACCTGTTAGAAATAGACTTGTTCAAAGAAAAAAAGTAGTGGCTTATAGTCCGGAAATTACAGTAGAGAACGAGAAAAACAGCTGGAAGCACGTCATTCGTCCGTGATTATCGGTAACACGTGCTGTTCAGACGTCTGCCGGGTTAGAAACGATGTAGGAATGTCAGATTGCAGGAGAAGTGGACGGCTGCTCTTTAAAGCCGGCACGCCAACATGGCGTAGGGTTAATGGAAAAGACTGTCTGAGAGAGGCTTGTATGTAAATTTCTGCTTCAAAATTGTTTGAAATTTGAAATCTTAAAAAAAAAGAACATCTACTGCACTGATATCATAAACTTTGATGTCGAAGCTGAGAAACCATTTAGTGTCCCCCATCATCTGATTGGTTTATTTTATTTTATTGTTTTTTCTCTGGAGAACATTTTATGTGACACAAAAAATGTAGATGAATTGTAAAAGGATCTATATTAATAAACCTTTTTTTTTTTTAAACTGAGACTTCTAATGATTTTTCTTTCAGTGCTGGTTATTCAAAGCGTTTGATTTAGGGTTTGCTGTTGTCAGCTTAAGCGGTCGTAATGCAAACAGCAAAACATCTCGTGTATCTAATAACCAAAAACCTTTGTGAAGTAATAATGTAAGACG